AGTCAGCAATGCATAGAATATCAAATTGAGGCAGGACCAAACTCCTCCCTCCTGCATCATGACTGAGAGAGGCATCCTGCCACAGGGAGTAGATTGCAAAAAGCCAGCTCAAGCACCAGGGACAGATCCTGGTCCCACTGCTAGGGCCCCAACAAACAGACTAAGCTATACAGACCCACATGTAGAGAGCTTAGGTTGGTTTCATGCAGGTTCCCTAGCTGTCGATCTAAGTCCCTGAGCTCCCACAAACTAAGTGATGCCCTGATTTTTTTGTTTAGAGTCCACATGGTGGAAGAAAACTGGACCCTGAGAGTTGTCCTCTAACCTCCACACATGTACTGTGGCACATGCCCTGCTGTGTGTGTGTGGGGGCGTGCACATAAATGTTTGTGCAAATTTTAAAACATAAAAAATGAGTAAAATGTATTAAGTTGGCCTTAATTCCACTGTAAAGTAACGGTACATGGAATTTGGATTTCTTTCCACATGTCAACCCTCCCTCCTTTTAGGATAGATAGTCTTGGCTCTTCCAACTATTCCTCATATGATATTATCTTGATTGCTCTTCTAAGGACATGAAAATTTGTCAGTGTTCCTCCTAAAATGTGTTTGGAACTGAGGCAATATTCATTATGTAGCTGAATTAGATGTGAATGTTCCACATCTGGACACTAACACAATCTGAATGTTGTGAGTTTTTTATCAGCCATGTAATGTTGGCTTGTAATGAATTTGCAATTAACTAAAATCCCAAGGTTTTAAACTGGAAGTTTGCCTTTATATGACTTCATTACTAAATCATTTATTTATTTTCCTTAGTTGTGCAACAGTTTTAAAAATAACAAAGTTTTACATGTTTCTGTATTATCAACTAGCTTTTTGTTTCTTTGAATCTCTTATTTAACCATCTAGTTTATGCAGATTCAACAAAGAACTTTGAACATTATTGCCAGAATGTTTTCTTTTTTAACTTTAATGTATTTTTTATTATTTTTAAATTAGAAACAATCTTATTTTATATATCAGTCCCAGTTTCCCTCCCATGCTCCCCCACTGGCCCCCCTTCCCATCCCTCTTTGCTCCATAGAAAGGGTGCTAGTCGAAAGTATCTTAAACTGTATTCAGAAAATTGCTCAGAGATAGATAAAAGTCAGCTCTTGAGGGATGTATGTATACTAGTGAAAATTGGCAGTGCCACACAAGTCTGAAGTTTATTGTCTTCTTTCAAGAGAGGCATTTTTTTAATATTATGCAAAAGGGAATTGATTTTCTAAGACATACTATGCTAACATAATGCCCAAAGTTCTTCATAAGTCTTTTCAAGATACCAAAAAATTAATGTCTAGAAGCAAATAAGACATTGTTGCCATTCTGTGTGGTGTGTGTACGTGTGTGCTTGCATTTGTGTGTGTTTTCAGAAGGGTCTCATGTAGCCCAGGCTGGCTGGTCTCTAATTCAGTGTCCCCTGTCTCATTCCCCTGAATCTACACACACACACACACACAGAGAGAGAGAGAGAGAGAGAGAGAGAGAGAGAGATTCTTAAAATGATTTACTTTTATTGTATGTTCATTGGTGTTTTTCCTGCATGTATGTCAGTATGAAGGTGTTGGATCCCCTGGAAATGGAGTTACAAATAACTATGAGCTGCCTGCCATATGGGTGCTAGAAGATGAGCCCTGATCCTCTGGAAGAGCAACCAGTGCTCTTAACTGCTAAGCCATTTCTCCAGCCCTTAAAATATATTTTTAATTGACACAGTGATTGTAAGTATATGTGATAATAGTGCCATGTGTTTATTATGTGGGAAATATGCATTAAATAAGATAGAGTAATATATTCTTTTATTTCAGACATTTTCTTTGTATTGAGAATATTGAAAGCTAGTCTGTTAACTACTTTGAAGTATCTGGCTAATTATTTTTAACCATAATTTTCCTAGTTTACTACAGAACATTAGTAATCAGAGCTGTATAAATGGCGCAGTAGCTAAACCATATGCTATGCAAGCATGAGGACCTGAGTTTTTATTTCAAAACCCAAATAAAGGCTGCGTGGGCATGATGGCCCACTCCTAATTCCAGAGCAGAAGACAGGCTCTCCAAGGCAAGCTGGCTAATGGACTAGACTTTATCAGTGAGATCTATACTTGATTTAGAGATGTTGTCTCAAAGAATAAGATGGAAGGGAAATTGGGGCTAATTCCCAATGTCAACAGTAGGCTTCCACATGCATAGGCCTGCACTTGCACATTCACCCACACACATGGAACAGGAAAAAAAGAAAAGAAATTCTTTGTCCTGCAGGTTCCAGTGGTACATTCCTTTAATCCCAGGACTCTGAAGGTTTAGGCAATAAATATGATGCTAGCCTGGATTATGTAGTGAAACTGTCTCCAAACAAAAAGGAAAGAAAGTTAACTTCTATTCAACTATGCCTTTGTGCCCATTAACTTTTTAACTTCCACATAAATGTACCTGGCATGTTTTACTTCACATAATTTCATCCACTTCTATTCATGTTTTCTACCAGTGGTAGAATTTTAATCTTTGTAGGGCTAAAGATTATATTGTATACATATGCTACATTTTCTTTGTTTATTCCACAATGGTCACCTACATACAAATAGTGCTATAATAAATGTGCAAATACAGGTGTCTCTTCAGCATACTGATTTTACTTCCCTGGATGTATGCCCAGTGGTGAGACTGCTAGCTCCTGTGTTAGAGCTGTCTCTGTTTGTTTTTGAGATTGTGTATCACGGGCTGGCATAAAACTTGTTATGAAGCTGAGAATGAGCTTGAAATTCTAATCCTCTTACTTCCACCTCATGACTTCTGAGATTGTTGGTGTACCACCACACCCAGCTTATGTAGTACTAAGGGTTAAACCCAGGGTTAGCAACATCCCCATCATTGTCTAGTTGGTTTCGAAACTTTTACACGTGTGTGTGTGTGTGTGTATGATTGTGTGCTTGTGAGTGTAGGTGCCCAAGGAGGTCAGAGGCATTGGATCCCCAGAAGCTGAAGTTACAAGTGGTTGAGAGCAGCCTGATGTAGATATAGATGTTGGGAACCAAACTGGGGTCCTCTGAAAGAGCTTTAAGTGCTCTTAACTGCTGAGCCACTTCTCCAAACCTCAGCTTAGGGGCTGGAGAGATGGCCAAGTGCATTGTGGAGGCAGAAGCTGCCTGGACTAGCCAACTCTGAGGTCAACTCTGAGATTCTGTCTTAACAAATATAGAATGATAAGAGAAAGATATCTGTGCACTCGCATGCATGCCAGGCACACATATCTACACAAAACCAAAAAGAGCCTCCATTTTGTGTTCCATAATGGCAGTGCTAGTTTACATTCCTGTTTGGAGATCCCCTTTTTTTCATTTCCTCAGCAGCATTTGTTGATTTTTGTCTTTCAAATTATAGCTATCCTAATAGGAGTGAAGTGATGCCTCATTGTGGCTTTAATTTGCATTTTCCTGGTATGTAGTGTGGTGGTTGGCTGTTTGTATGTCCCCCCTTTGAGAAATATCTGGATACGTATTCATTTTTACATCAGAAACTTTCATTTTTTTCTGTTGAGTTTTAGCCATTCATTTACTTTGCATTTGACAAACATGCTGAAGACAGTATGGCAATGTGGAAGATTCTGGAGAACCAGCTTGTCTTGTACCTAGGGTGACCATATACATTTTTTCTGTCTGCTTTGACTAAGGTGACCATGATTTATGCCTCTTATCCTTGTGCAATTATTAGTAGCATCATTTAACACTTTACCGTGTTGGAAGACAAACTGTCTTGCCATCTTCCTATAACACAGCTGACTCCTTTTGGGCTAAACATGACATAGTTATACTTTGGTAACTGTAAGGAGTGCTAAATTCTCTTCCACTTAAACAGGCTGGTCCTTGACCAACCGAAGTTGATAGCAAAAGTAACTTCAATTAATATGTTACTGTTTAGAATGTTTCTTAAGCCATTATCTGCCTGGCAGTTTTGGGTATATAGGTGTGTGGTGTGTGTGTGGTGTGTGTGTGTGTGTGTGTGTGTGTGTGTGTGTGTGTGTGTGTGTGTGTGTAAAATCAGGAATGGTCCAGTTCTAGCAAAAGTGGACTCTATGAAAACAAGAAGCATTTGGTATCTTTAACATGCTAGAAACAATAGTGTGAATGTTTAATATTTTATTAGTTCTTTGAGATTTTATACATTGCATTTTGATCACAGTCACCTACCTCCCTAACTCCTCCTAAATACACCACCTTGACTTTGTCCTCCTTTTGTTTAAATGCAGCAAGTTTAATTTGTGCTTCCTATATACTCTTGGCCATGGCATCCACCAGAGCACTTTTGTTTTTGCTAAGCAAGAAAGTAAAAATATATTTAAAATTAATCCATGAGCATTCTAAACATTCATTTCTTTTTAAATAGGAAAAATTGAACTTTGATGCCTTGAATATGAAGTGATTCATTATAACTATCGTGCATAGTCTTTAATGATCTGCATTTTATGCTGCATTCATGTTTTCCTAATTAATGGCTTCACATGTTAAATATTTATAATTTTTCTGCGTCATAGTTTCTGTATTTCTATAAATGAGTACTTAAGATTCATAATTCTGCTATTTGTTTACGCATTGTTTTCCATCAAAAGAGAAGGCGGGACTGAGATTGAGGTTCATTTGTAGAGAGCACTTGCCTAAAATGCAGAAGGCCCTGAGGTGGATATGCAAGACTACAATAAATAAGAGAGAGAAACAGGCTGGTTTATATAGTTCTGTGTTAGAACACGCGTTAGCATTATGTGAAGCCTTAACACTGAAAGAGAAAAAACAAAAGCACCAGATTTTAAAACTCGAGTAGTTTGGTAATGTAAGGCTCTAGAATTACATGTGTCTTAGTGATTGCACCACTGTTTTTATGTTGTCACTGGATAATCTGCTAGTGCTTAGTATCAGACATATGTTATGTATTGGATTTCCTAATGCAATGTTCTCTTTTTAGAAAAGGTGGACAAGTCCTATTTTCAAGAGAAGATGACTTTTAACAGTTTTGAAGGATCTAGAACTTGTGTACCTGCAGACACCAATAAGGATGAAGAATTTATAGAAGAGTTTAATAGATTAAAAACGTTTGCTAATTTTCCAAGTAGTAGTCCTGTTTCAGCATCAACATTGGCACGAGCAGGGTTTCTTTATACTGGTGAAGGAGATACTGTGCAATGCTTTAGTTGTCATGCGGCAATAGATAGATGGCAATATGGAGACTCAGCTGTTGGAAGACACAGGCAAATATCCCCAAATTGCAGATTTATCAATGGCTTTTACTTTGAAAACAGTGCCACACAGTCTACAAATCCTGGTATCCAAAATGGCCAGTACAAAGCTGAAAATTATGTGGGAAACAGAAATCATTTTGCCCTTGACAGGCCATCTGAGACTCATGCAGATTATCTTTTGAGAACTGGACAGGTTGTAGATATTTCAGATACCATATACCCGAGGAACCCTGCCATGTGTAGTGAAGAAGCCAGGTTGAAGTCCTTTCAGAACTGGCCAGACTATGCCCACTTAACCCCCAGAGAGTTAGCCAGTGCTGGACTCTACTACACAGGGGTTGATGATCAAGTGCAGTGCTTTTGTTGTGGTGGAAAACTGAAAAATTGGGAACCCTGTGATCGTGCCTGGTCAGAACACAGGAGACACTTTCCCAATTGCTTCTTTGTTTTGGGCCGGAATGTTAATGTTCGAAGTGAATCTGGTGTGAGTTCTGATATGAATTTTCCAAATTCGGCAAATTCTCCAAGAAATCCAGCCATGGCAGAGTATGAAGCACGGATCATTACTTTTGGAACATGGATATACTCAGTTAACAAGGAGCAGCTTGCAAGAGCTGGATTTTATGCTTTAGGTAAACTTAACCAGTAAATTACTTTCCAACTTAGGTTAAACTTAACCAATAAATTACTTTGCAACTGTCATAGAGCTCCTAAAAAGAAAATCTTTGCCTTCATCTTCTGAACTGATAAATATTTAGGCATACATTTTCAGGATTGCTCATTATCAGTATCATTCTCTGAACACATATGTTAAATCTTCAGTGTCATTACTGAATTTATATTAAAAGGCTATGCTATTATGAGTCAGATCTGTGTTCATATAATTGTTTGAGGGTTGAGTTGAGAGAATAAAAAAGATGGTATTGATTCCTGAAAGATAATGGGTCTAAAAGTAAGAATAGCTACCATTTATTGAACATCTATTCTGTAGCTTAAAATACTTATTACGTGGATTTTCTCTAAGTTTTACTACGACCCTGTAAAAAGAGTTAACAGAGAATTTAGTTTGGTTCCTGGTAAATTGACATCAAGCTAAGCATGGTGCCACGTACCTGTAGTCCCAGCAGTCCATAGGCTGAGGTCAGAATGAGTTTGATGGCTGTTTGGGCTACATCATGATAACCTCTCAAAAAATAGCAAAGAAAAATTAACATCTTCCTTTAACATACACTATATATTTGAAAGCTGCCCTGTATTAGGCATTACTGCTTCAGAGTATTTTTCAAACAGTTCCTGTATGTGTATCAAGAAAAGCCAGTAGTATGGTGGCTTCTAGGAATGTTTTATATCTGCATGCCTGGCCCATTTATTTTAAGACTGAATAATGCCAAATTCAAAATACAAATTATTTCAAATCTTTTCATTTATATAACATAGTAATCTTAAAGGTCTGTTTCATGTCAGAGAGTTCTATCCTTAAAGACATTTTGTAATTTATGCTGAATTTTATGGTACTTAACATTTGGAATATAACTTGTACAAATTTCAGTTTGATGAAGTAAGTGTAATAGTAATGGTTCAATTGTAGATTGTAACATAAAAACTTTGATATTTACTTTCATTGTCTTCTACAAAGCACCCCATATTGAGATGGTGAATTTAGTATGTGTTGCCCCTCAAATGATAAAAAAAATATATCTAGATGGAACGTGAATATTTTCTTTTAAGCCATGAGATTTTATGTAACTTAGACCCCCCCCTTAAACGTTAGAATGGGCATTTTTCTGAAAGTGTCTACTTGCACAGATACACATAGTTTTACCTGCATGTTTTCTTAGGTGAAGGTGATAAAGTGAAGTGCTTTCACTGTGGAGGAGGACTCACAGATTGGAAGCCAAGTGAAGACCCTTGGGAACAGCATGCTAAGTGGTACCCAGGGTAAGATTCTTAATTGTTGCTCAGGAATAGGCAAGTTGGACATTGTGCAGTGGAAAGACTTGAATTACTTTTCACCTCAACTATTTTTGCTTTCACTATGGCTTGAAATTCACACCAGGTTAATAGAAATGGGGTCACCTACTTTGTAGGGAAAAAAAAAAGAAAAGAAAAAACCGCCTAAGACCTTCTGGTAACCAAAGCATTTACTGTTCATATATGATACTTAGAGGGTTCCATTTCTAAACAACAAATTGTAAAAAAATGTGTACTTTTTATTTAGTACCCTATAAAAAATATATGCTTTTTATTCAGAAGTATTCTCTTTGGCGATTGACCTGAGCCATGGTACAATGAGAAGTCCTGAAGAGCTGTCATAATGTATATTATTTATTATTTATATTTTGTTAGGTTCTAATTTGAAACAATTTCTCACATTAGCTCACGTCCCGGAATTCACAATGTCTTTCAGGCTGGCCTCCATCATGAAACTCTCCTGTCTAAGTTCCTTTGTCATCTTGCCTCTGTGAAATACTCGATTATATAAGTTTTATGAATTTATAATATATGAAATAATATACCTTAAAATTTTAGAAGAATCATCCTTAAGCTACCTTAAAATTAAATGGGAAAATAAAAACTAAGGTTTTAAGTGTTCAGTATTGGTTTAAAAAAAGGTTTACCCCAGGTCCTTTGGAGCCCATCCATTCCCTATGAGATAACCTTTCTCAGCCTAGATACAGGAGGGGAGGGCCTTTTGTGACTGACTTTGTTGATTCCCATGGGAAGCCTCACCCTCTGAAGGAGTACATGGGGCCAGGAGTGGGGAGTTTCAGTTTTGGATTTTCTTTGGGTGTGCACACGTGTGTAATATAAGCTTGTTATATCCAGCCTTAAGTGTGTGTGTGTGTGTGTGTGTGTGTGTGTGTGTGTGTGTGTGTGTGTGTGAGTGAGAGAGAGAGAGAGACTTGTTATATATCTAGCCTTGAGTGGCTGCAAATTCCTATGTAGACCAGACTGGATTTAAAGCTTGTGGCAGTACTCCAGTTTCTACCTCTTGAGTATTATAGAGGTGTGGTATCATGCCTGCCTTTTTGTTTGTTTCTTTTTTTGAGACAGGGACTCTTGGAGCTCATGCTAGCAAGAATTTACTATGTAGCCAGTGGTGGTTCTGAACTTCTGATTTCCTTGGCTTAACCCCCTAGGTGCATGTATCTAGATGTTTGCCACTGTAACTGGCTAACTACTTTTTTGGCTGTTGTTTTCTTCCTTTTGGGGGACAGGTTCTGTCTATGTAGTCCAGGCTAACCTAGTTTTCAGATCAGTCATCTTCCTACCCAGCCTCCCAAGTGCTGGGATTGCTGGCATATACCATCAAAATTGGTTAATTTAGTAATTCTTGCTTGGAAATTGAAAGTTCTAAAATTGATATTGTTAGTTTGAATAATAGGAGCATTGTTTTAGCCTTGAAATGACAGCTGGATAAGGAATTGGGTAGCAGTTTGCTTTGTGGCTCCCTAGCAACAGTGAAGCTAAGGCCTTTAATCTTAGCTACCTAGGAGTCTGATAAGATAGGAAATTTCAAGGCCTGTCTAGGTTAGAAAGCTCAATCAAGGGCAGCCTGGGCGATTTATCAAGACCCTATCTCAAAGAAAAAGTTGTATTTTTAAAAGACCAGGGTGATTTGTGCCTATTCCTGCCTGTAATCCCAGCAATTGAGATATGTAGGATTAGAAGTCTGAGGTCATCCTTGGCTAAATAGCAAGTTTAAGACCAGCTTGAATCATATAAGGACTAACTTTACCAATATTTCACTAATGTATCAGCTAATAGAGTTTAATGTCTTTAATCTTTTAGGTGTAAATATCTATTGGATGAGAAGGGGCAAGAATATATAAATAATATTCATTTAACCCATTCACTTGGGGAATCTTTGGTAAGTTGCCTGTTATATAGTACATGTTTCCGAATTCTATATCATTTCTTCAAGTGAAATGCATATGGTATACTATTATAGTTAATGTGTTGTAAACTTTAAAGGGGAGAACTTGAAGAAAACTTTTAATTCTTAACTCTGAAGCAATTTTTGAAAAGATCAAGGCAAAATAATATATCACTGTAGTCTGAATGGGTATGAAGAACTCAAAATACTGAAATCATTTAGCCTTCAGAAACCAGGCTTTTGCGTAATATACTTTCACTCACAAATAGCTTATACCGTCTTAAAAAAACAAAAAACAAAAAAAAAAAAAAAAAGCCAGCATCTCGCCCTGTAGATCAGGCCGACCTTGTGAACCCACAAGATGTGCCTGCCTTTGTCCCCTGAATGTTGAGGTATCTGCCATCATGCCTGGTAGTTTTCACCTTACAAAAAAATCATTGAATGATCTAGTGTGTGTGCCTGCATGCGCCTGTGCACCACAGGTACCTAAGGAAAACAGAAGAGAGCATCAGCTCTGCAGAGCTGGTGTTACAGTTATAGGCAGTTGTGAGCTGCCCAATGTGGATTCTTGGGAACTGAACTCTGTTCTTCTGCAAGAGCAGCAAGTGTTCTCAACTGCTGAGCCATAGTACTTAAAATTGCAAAATATATCATTTATATCTTATCTGGCTATCATAAACAAAGCCTTGGTACAAAAAATATGAAAATATATCTGAATAGATACATAGGACAAGGGTAGTCACAGCATCAATAAGATGTGGAAAGAACCCTGGACTGGAATGGGAGTCTAGAGTTGACATGATGGTTCTACCTTTAGTTTTTTAGTTTAGTTTGTGTTTGTTTCCCCTCCAGGAAGTCATTTGATCTCATTGACCCTCACCTTCTTGTCTGTAAAGTAGTGATAATGGATTAAATAGTCTTACTTCTGTTCCACCAGGCTGTGCCCTTATGGATAGTCATGTTTTAAATTAGAATAAAGCCAGTTTGTTTTAAGTTTATTAACTTTTCAAATTGAAAAAAATTGCTTTCCACTAAAGTGAATTCTTACCATTCATATTTCTATTTTAGGTAAGAACTGCTGAAAAAACAGCTTCACTAACTAAAAGAATTGGTAAATATGTTTATTAAAATAAATCTGTTTAATTTTGTGGCCAAATTATTATAGATGTTTAATGAGGTTGCTATAAATTTATGAGATACTTATAATTTTATATCATATTTCTGTAGTGAGGATGTTAATAGAAAGCCAGGTGTTACTGGGTGAAGGTAGTGACACCTTTAATCCCAGCATTTGGGAGGCAGAGGCTGGTGGATCTATCTCTTGAGTACCCTGCAAACCTTGTCCCTAGAGCAAGTTCTAGGACAGCCAGAGCTGTAACAGAGAAACCCTGTCTTGAAAAAACAAAACAAGGAAAAGGAAAGAAGGAAGGAAGGAAGAGAAAGAAAGAAAGAAAGAAAGCCAGCCAGGTGTTGTGGCATAAATCTGTAATCCTAGCACTCAGGATGTTAAAGCAGGAGAAGTCTTCATCTGTGGCTAATCTGGACTTCATGGATTAAAATAAAGAGGAAGAGAGGAAAACATTAAGCAATGCAGATATTGGAAGTTTGGATTTTAAAATCTTGGTTCCATTTAATTATATATTTGTTTGTTTAATGTGTGTGGGAGTTCAGCTTCACAAATGTCTACCATATGCATGCATGCCTGGTCTCCCAAGCAAGAAGAGGATATCAGATTCCCTGGAACTGGAGTTATAAGTGGTTGTGAACCACCAAGTGAATGCCATGAACTGAACCCAGGTCCTCTAGAAGAGCCAGTGCTCTTAACCTCTGAGCCATCTTACTGATTTACTGTGTAGGCCAGACTGGCTGGACCTCTCTGTCTTTTTGCCTCCATCTTTTAAGTGCTGAGATTGTAGGTGTGTGCCTCCACACTAGGCTAAAAGCAGATCCTGTGATGGTGTTTATTATTTGTTGATGCTGGTGGTTGAGCCCGGAGCCTTTCTCATGATAAGTACTCTGAGCTACAGCCCAGGTAGTTATTCCTACTTTACAACTGCAGAAACAAGGAGGGTATATGATCTAATCATGGCCACATTATAAATTGTATTTTTATTGTTAATTTTTTTGTTTGTTTGTTTTTTAAGACAGAGTTCCTCTGTGTAACCCTGGCTGTCCTGGAGCTCACTCTGTAGACCAGGCTGGCTTCAAACTCTCAGAGATCTGCCTGCCTTTGTCTCCTGAGTTCTGGGATTAAAAGCATGTGACATTGTAAATTATTAGTAGAACTAGAACTGTAAACAAGGTCTTCTAAATCCCATAACACATTGTGGATTTAATTTTTGGTGGAGGTGGTATTATGGAATAGGGTTTCTCTGTGTAGCTCTTTCTGTCCTGAAACTCTATATGAAGACCAGGCTGGCCTCAAACTCACACGCTTTCCTGCTTCTGCCTCCAGAATAGGGAAATGAAAGGTAAGTACTACCATACCCAGCTCTGATGTCCCTTATGTTTCATATTTTTAGATCTTATGTTTCATATTTTTAGATCTCATTTTTCAGTTGAGGCAATATATTTCAAAAATAGACGGTTTCATTTAGAATACCTGGTGAGTCCTTATCCTTTGACATTGTAATATCTGTTTTGTGTATCAAAGACTGCAAAACAGAAGAATACTACATGTATTCATAAATATGCTTAAAATACATTACTTGGTATGGATTTGGCAGCAATAAATAACAGTTAAATCATTTTTGTCTAGCATACATTTTTAAAGTTATTCTGGGGAAATCAAAAAGATATCTAGAACTAGGGTTGTGTTTCAGTGATAGTATTTTTGTCTAGCATGTAGAAGTTCAGTTCTAACCCACAAGAAAAAATGTTCTGTATTTCTAGAGAATAGTTGGTGTTTAATCATCCTTAAGATGAACACTTATCTTTATATGATTAATGAGATTCTTGCTCTAGGATTGGATTAATGTTTGTAAATTAAAATATAACTCAAATAGCAAAAATCTAACTTGATAAAGTATAGAATGTGGTATTTCTTAGTGTATTCACCAGGTTGTACAGCATCACTGTTAAATTGTCATCACCTCAGAAGGAGACCTTATACCCACCCAGCAGCTGCTGTTCTCCATTTTCCTACTGCCAGGCCCTGACGATACTGCTTTTACCTGTTTTGGACATTTAATATATGTAGAATCATCTATGTAGCCTCAAATATCTATATTGTTTCTTATATGAATCCAGCAATCTTTATTGTTTGCTTTATTTTGAGACAGGGTCTAGTGTATCTTAGGCTGGCCTTGAATTTGGTAGATAGCTGAATATGACCTCAAACTCCTAGTCCTTCTACTTTGTCATTTCTGGGGGGTCATAGGCCTGCACTACCATGCTAGGTTGATGTTTTGCTGGGGATTAAACACCAGGCATGCATGTATACTAAACAAACACTCTTCCAACAGCCCTATCGTCATCCCTTGGATACTTTTCTTACCTGTTTTACCTATCTCGCATTTTTCTTTCCAAGTTTGGGAATCAGAGCCACAACAGCACACATAGTAGGCAAATACTCTACCAGTGAACTACTCCTCCTTAGCCATATCATAGTCCTAAAGCCCTAAACTGTTTCACTGTTTAGTCATGTTTATGAAAATACTTGTTTCTACTACCCAACTTTGATTTCAGATGATACCATCTTCCAGAATCCTATGGTACAGGAAGCTATACGAATGGGATTCAGTTTCAGGGACATTAAGAAAACAATGGAAGAAAAGATCCAAACATCTGGGAGCAGCTATCTGTCCCTTGAGGTTCTGATTGCAGATCTAGTGAGTGCTCAGAAAGATAATACACAGGATGAGTCAAATCAGACTTCACTACAGAAAGGTATGCATTATTTTTTTAAACAAAAATAACTTTGCAGCCCATTCATTTCCATTTTATAATACCCCATGGAATAAGCATTTTTAGTATTACTATGATAAGTAGAAAGAACAGTGAAGCAGTTTCAATAATAAGCAACTCTTTCCCACCTTGATTCTTATCTCCTATCTTTCTGGCCATAGCACTTCAAAGTAAATGTAAGATATCTTGTGTATCGTCATCTACAAATACTTTTGATATATTCAACATAGAAGGCTATTTTTATTTATTTATTTATTTTTCATATCGATCCCAGTTCCCTCTCCGTCCCTCCCTCCCTTCTTCTCTTCCATCCTCCCATGCCTAGAAGGCTATTTTTTAATCATGCTTTCAGTGCTGTGTTTCTCAGGCTATTATAGCAATATTCTACAAAATAGATAGCTTAAACAAAATACATTTGTTTATAACAGACTGAGAAGGCCAAAATCTAGGTCTTCCTGCAGGTAATTGCCTTCCCAAAGTAGTGTATATAAATAACCTCTCAGGTCTTTCTTCCTTTACTTACAAGAGTGTTAATTCCCCCAGGAATTCTCATGGTCATGACTTCATATAAACCTAATTGTATTCATACATTGCTTAACAATGTAGATACGTTCTGAGAAATGTGTTGTTAAACAAGGTCATCATTGAATGAATGTCATTGAATATACTTACACAAACAGATGGCATATGTCAACCACTTGATCAGGTTTCTTGATGCAATTCAGATACTTTGTAAACATAATGTCTTCTGTGATGCTTCTGTTGACATGATATGGCATATTGTTTCATGGTAGTTTTATTTACATGAAGGAGTATATTCTCATAATAAAGAATGTAAGGTAATATGTAAACCATTAACTGTATGCTATGTTTTCATATGTCTAGCAGCTCAGGAGATTGGATAATGGCAGCATCGTAACAAACATGATGCATTATGCCATAACATTAAGCTGGCTGATAGGATTTTTTCAATTCACTTGTGATCTTCTGGGACAAATAATGTTTTCTGGTTTACCAAAGCATTGTTCACTAGCACATTACCATACTTCCTAAAGCCCTTCCTCTGCACATCACTATATGGAATGTTAAAGCTGCAACACATGAATGTTAGGAACACAAACATTCAGTCCTCATCACATTGTTATTGCACTTCTCTAAATCATCAGAGACCCAGTTAATTTTAATACCCCTCCTTTTTTTAGTGCTGTATGTTAAACCTAGGGCCTGATTACATGTTAAGCAACTACTCTACCAGTGAGCCACACCCCTCATTCCTCCAGTTTCTTACAACGTTTCTATACTTGGTCCGTTTTAATAAATCTCTAAGTAAGATTCACCAGTTTCTCCATTTTATTTTTAAATGCCTCAATTATATAGGTAGGTAGGTAGGTATGTTGGTTGGTTGGTTTAGGGGTATACATGTACATATATACTTACATTCATTCCCCCATCCTTCCACTAATCCCTTTCTAATTTCATGTCACCTACCCACACCCTTTGTGGCCCAATGAGTTTCACTAGGGTTTTGCTTTGGGGAGGGGACTTATGGATTTTATATATAATAAAGGCCAGAAGTAACCTCTGGCATTATTCCTCAGGTGCTCTCCACCTTATTGTTTTTTTTAATGGGTAATTCAGTTTTCAGTGTAAGTTTAAATAAAATGTCTCTGATAACCATTAACTACATATGAATTCTCAGGGAAGAGTGGGGCCCTAGGAGCCTCTCTCCCCTTCTCCCCTTTTCATGTTGCTGACCTAATGTTGGATGATCTGATACAGGAGTCACACCTTTTTTTTTTTTTTTTTTTTTTTTTTTTTTTTTTTTTTGAGATAGGGTCTTTAACACAAGCTGGTTTTGAACTACTTAATAGGTAAGGATGGCCTTGAATTTCTGTTCCTCCTACCTCTGCCTCCCAAGTTCTGGGATTACAGGCATGCAGCATTATACCTAGTTTATGAGGTACTTGGGATTGAGCCTAGGACCTTGTGCGTATTAGACAAACATCCCCAGCCTTGATTTTAAAAGTATGAGTATTTTTTTTTGATTGTTTGAGATGGGATCTTACCTTGTAACAACCCTGGCTCTGCTAGAACTCACTTTGTAGACCATGTTGGCCTCAAACTCACAGAGATCTACCTGCTTCTACTTCCCAAGTGTCCCAAGTGCATCACCACTGTTGTTTGGGTTAGAGTATTTTAGACAAAGAACAGTAGTCTTTTATCATTGTGTGTAGAATCTTAAGTTTTGTAACTGAAACAGTTTAGTTTTAAAGTGTTCTTCAACTTTTCATATATGAAAACATGAGAGGATAATGCTATTATGTAGGCTTTGAATTAAAATGCATCCTAATACTCTATATTTTATAGAAAAAGCCAGACAGTGGTCCACATATATAATCTCCATATTCAGAGGGAGAACTTAGCAAGGATGCTATGATTGCTCAGTGGGTAAAGGCATCTGCTTCTAAGCTTGAAGACCTAACTTGAGAGAGAACCAAGTTTTGAAAAGTTGCCTTCTCGCTTACATATATGTGCTGCAATCTACATACCCACACAAATAAAAATAAAACAATAAATTATTTTTTAAAGAAAACTTGTTTTTGAAAAAAAATGCTATAAGAGGTAAGAATTATGCTACAATAAATGGTATACAATATCCTGGACTTCATACCCAACATCGCTGACACCCCCACCCTACCTCCACACATACCAAAGGGGGAAAAATGATTCTCTTTTGAGGCCAGGTTTATATAAACCGTATACAGTGATTACAAAGACAGTTAAAATATGTAATTATTTGTAGTGCCTAGCACATATTTATGCTCTATTACTGTTGATTTTTGCTATTCTATATGACCACAATCACAGTATTGAGCCATATTTGTTAGACTTTCACAATAATCTGTTTTGACAAAAGTTCAACTATGCAGCTACTTCAGTATCCTATGTATGCTGCTCATACTCAAATACGTTTTTATTTGGATGTCCTGCCAACATGTCAAATGTTGGCAATCTCCTTTTATATTTGCAGTAATTATCACCATCTCCTTGATACATCAGCAAACCCAACTTTAGTTCTTCTTTCTCTCTTTAGCCCTCACATCTAGGCATCAAATCCTACTTATCCCAACGTAGAAGTGTCCATCAAATGGAACCCTTTCTAGAATTACCAGTTCCCTTCAGATATGTTGTTTCTTTTACTTCACCCTTGCTTTTCTGCCTGCAAATTGTTGTCTGTACTTAACATGTTGCTCCACCATGGTCCTCCTCCTTCTCATGATGCCTTCCCCAATAAGCCAGAGGAACTTGTTCACCTTGCCCCATTGTATGTAGCTCCATTAAAGCACTGACTACTTTATACTTTGCACTCACCTCTCTAGCTGCACTTCACAGCCGCTCCCACTAGCATACAAACTACTTAAGAATGTGTACCATGTATGAGTCATCTTAATGTCTCCCAAGACTTGAGTGTCTAGCACACAGGAGGTTTGAGTGTTTGAATCAATTTAAACAACAAACCCCCAAACTAGTATATGTTGTTTTTCTCTTTGTGCAGACATTAGTACTGAAGAGCAACTGAGGCGCCTACAAGAGGAGAAACTTTGCAAAATCTGCATGGATAGAAATATTGCTGTAGTTTTTGTTCCTTGTGGACATCTGGTCACTTGTAAACAATGTGCTGAAGCAGTTGACAAATGTCCCATGTGCTATACAATCATCACTTTCAAGCAAAAAATTTTTATGTCTTAATTCAGAGCCACAGTAGGCATGTTATGTTCTTCTTACTTTAATTGAATGTGTGATGTGAGCAAACTTTAAGTAATCAGCATTGCATTCCGTTAGCATCTGCTCCCAAGTGGAAACAAATGTTAACAGCACTGTTACAATCTAAACTTTGAATTTCTGGAACTTTCAGGTTATTAGCTATATCATTTATCCAATACTTTACTCAATTAACGCCTTAGACAAAGAAGCACTTAATAGTACAACTTTTCACCTTGTGTATATATAGTACACTGACTTCTATGTGTAAGTGAATTAATCACTAGCATTTTCCATTCCTTTTGGATAACCTTAACAAATGGAGTGTTGAGTATAAGCAGAGAGATTGGAGTTAATTTACCCAATCACTTATTCTGTTTATTGTGACCAGGGAATGAACTGTTCCACACTGGTGGGAGGGTAAACATCGGTTTGTAGATATATGTCTCTGTGTTTTAGGATTCTGTCCATTTTCTTTCAAAATTATAAATGTACTTGTATGAATGATTTTTAAGTGATTTTGCCATCTCCCAAAAGATATTTAATGGTAAACTGCTTATCTAACCAACATATACCAACATGGAAAGACAACAAAGATATAGTAAATGTAAAATACAAATGGCAAGACACTGTATAGTTTAAGCCAAACAAGGTGTGAATTTTATATCTATATAGGACAAAAAAAGATTTGGAAAGATATGCATCATACTCCTAAATATGTTTTTTTTTCTTGAGGGGGGTGGGGGTATGGGTCTTAGAGGGGCTTATGGGAGCCCTTCTTTTTTTTCATTTTGTTCTGTTTGAAGTTTATATGAGTATGTATTACTTTTGTATAATCAGAATTTTTAGAAATATTTTACTGATTTAAAGGCTTAGGCATGTTCATACGTCTGCAAAACTACTTATCGCTCAGTTTTAGTTTTTCTGATCCAAGAAGGCAGGCCAGTTAACTTTTCTGGTGCCAATGTGAAATTTAAATGTTTTTGTTTTACCTGCTTTATGGATGGAAAATCTTTCTGAGTGGTAGTTTTCTGACAGATAGACCATGTCTTCTTATCTTATTTCAAAATAAATATTTCTGATTTTGTAAAATGAAATATAAAATATTGTCTCAGATCTTCCAATTAATTAGTAAGGATTCATCCTTAATCCTTGCTAGTTTAAGCCTGCCTAAGTCACTTTACTAAAAGATCTTTGTTAACCCAGTATTTTAAACATCTGTCTGCTTATGTAGGTAAAAGTAGAAGCATGTTTGTATGCTGCTTGTAGTTTTAGTGACAGCTTTCCATGTTGAGATTCTCATGTCATTTTGTGTCCTAAAAGTTTCATGTGAGTTTTTTACTGTTAGAAAGATTAATATGTATATAGTACAGAATGGTAAGTCTCTGTTTTATGTTTATTTGTTTTTTGACTAGTAATCGTAGTAAATACAAATATTTTCTCAAGATCCTTAAGCCCTCTTGGAAATTGTATCATACTGACAAAGAATAGTTGTTTAAGTATTTTTAACAACTTGTCATTATGAATAAAATCCAGCTAAATGCTTCATAGAACACAGAATTTACCTTAAACGATTAAGGTGATAGACCTCTTACAGAGACTGGTCTGTTTTACTACAGAGCACTGTTTGGGAGTGAAACTGTTACAATTTGGGTTTTTGTTGTATTTTCTAAGAGAGAGTATTGTTAGGTTCTCCTAACTTCTGTTGACTACTATGGTAAGTGATGTCATTTTAATTGCAAATTTAAATAGAAATTGACTGAATTAAGTAAATGACTGCCCTTTTTTTCCTCTTTGCTTATTCATAAAAATCCTTAGTTCTTTGCATTGTCCCCTACTTGGGTTCAGTTATATAGTCATTAAGTTGAATTTGATCTGAATTGACTAAGGTTTAAATTTAAATTTACATTTAAAGCATTCCACAAGGGGATAAAAGTGTTAATTTAGAAAAATGTTTTCTAAGACACTTCAGGTACAAGTCACGTAGATAGTTTGTTTAATCTAGCTGTTAGCCAAGAATTCAAGAGCTGAATTGTTTTTAAATAAGGCTTTTCTTGTTCTGGGAGCCTCAGTTCATTAAAACTCTCCTTTTAAAACTTGTGTGCTGAGAGTTAAGCAAGACCTTTTTTTTTTTTCTTCATGAGTTGCGAAATTGAATTCATGAAGCTGATGTGGCTAACAAGTTTATTTTAAGAATTGTTTAGAAAATGCTGTTGCTTCGGGTTCGTAAAATCACACACAGCACTCCAACTCTAATCAAATTGTTGGAGACTTACCAGAGTTGGTCCGAGCTCATGCTGAAAAAAAAAAAATTAAAAGTATAAAAAACAAACACACAAAACATTGGATCCTTTCCAACATAGCTGTGCAAAAAATTGGTCACTTGGAAGGTCAAAATATAACCAGATCCAAATCACCCACCCTCAAGAGTTCTCAGTATCTGTGTGTTGATGTTCTTTTCTGTATAAAGTTCACTCTAAGATTTTGAAGTAACCATCTATTTTACTACATATTAGTCATGTGAAATTTGAAGTTGTTTTGTAATAGTTAATTTTGTTTGTAATTTACTGTGCTAATCAAAATGTTTGCTAGTGTCTAGCATTTATTAAATAAATACAGTTTATTTGATTAATGGCTTAGTATTCCCTTTCCTGCTAGATTTTTGCCTCTTCCTTTGGTTAGGGGTAGAGGTGAGGTTAGTGTAGTAAGTGAATATAGTGTGATTTATCTATGTTGTTATGACATTTTTTTGTTTTGTTATTTAAAATGTGTATTTTTTTTTCTGTTTTAATTTTAGTAGGTAAAATTTATATGTTGAGCTCTCTGAGTGGAAACTACCACCCCAGCATTATCTGCATTTATTGTTCCCATTAGTTCTAAATCTTGTTTTACATGTGACTGCCTAGGTACTGAATAAGAGGAGAGATGAAATAGATTGTAGGTTGTTGCTATTAGAAAAATAAGAAAATGGAAAAATACTTGACAGCATTTTAGTCACATCGTCTCTTTTTAAAAATTAGCCATCAGTAAAGAAATGAGCTGACCATATAAGCTTCACAAGATGAGGTCAGATCTCCAGAACCCACATAAAAGCTGGGTACATTAGCCCAAGCATCTGTTATCCCAGAATGCCTACATGAAACAGGAAGCAGATAGGAGAATGGCCAGAAGCTCAAGGTCAGCTAATTTGGCTTAGGCATTAGCAAAGAAACACTGTTAAACAAGGTAGGAAGGTTGTCCTTTGGGTTATCTGCCCTCTAAGGTGCATCATGGCAGGTGTCCACCTATACTCAGACACATACACAAAAGAAAAACCAAAAAGGCAGCTATCTATATAATAAGAGTATTACCTTAACCATTTTCTCCAAGATGATGCAACTCAACTCAAGAACACACCTTAAATGCTCTAAGTGTTAACTCTCATCCTAAAAACTTTTATAATTTTTTTTCCAAGACAGGGTTTCTCTATGTAGCCCTAGCTGTCTTGGAACGCACTCTTTAGACCAGGCTGGCCTCGAACTCACAGATCCACCAGCCTCTGTCTCCCAAGTGCTAGAATTAAAAGTGTGTGCCACTACAGCCCAGATTCATCCTAAAACTTGTAGGCCTTCCATGGGTTTCCTTAATGGAGGACTTAGACTATAGCTTTAAAAAAACAGCCTGGAAAGATAACTCAGCCATTAAGATTACTTGCTGCCTCTGCAAAGAACCAAGGTTCAGTTCCCAGAGCCACAGGGTAGCTTACAACTGCATGTTAACTCCAGCTTTGAGCTATCTGGTGCCCTCTTTTGGCCTCCATGATCCATGGGTACCTAAATGCATGTACATATGTACAAACACACATAAAATAAAAGTAATCTTTAAAGCTTAAATGAATCTCATATATTAACTTTTTGTCACTGTTACTCGTTTCTCTGGGTGCTTATAATGAAACTATAAATTGCAATAAATACATTAATCCTTCATAAAGATTTAAATTCTTTTTTTTCAAAAGCTAGAAAAATTTTCTTATTAAATTCAGTTGAGTTTTCCTAAGAGAAACAATCAACTTATTCCCATCCTAATATTTCAATTTGGGTCTGAAACATTTAACACATAATAGATTCCTTCCTTACATAATAAAATCACAGACTGTCAGCTAGAAATTACCCTGGAGAATAGCTTATTCATAGCACCACCGCCCTCACTTTATCATTGAGGTAGATCCTTTACTGGGACACAGTTTGAAGCTGGAAAACCCTTTACCACACCAGCTGCCTGTCCTGAGAAGTGTCCGATATTTAGTTTTTAGCAATTCCTTCCATGATACTCTTAATTTTCACTGCACAGTAAATGGTGCTTTATAATTGTTACAGTAGGATAATCCCTAATACTTTAAAATTAAGTAATAAGCCATTAATGCTTGTGTGGTAGAGTTCTCATTTGGAGGCTCAAGTTCATAGTTGTTTGACATTTACTATGTGCTTCTGTATCATTAATGTAACATTTAAGATTACTGTGTAAGTTTATTTTATCACTCTGTAAATACTTAACAGCAAGCTTGCATTTTAAATTTGATGTTAATAATGGCTTTAATGTAGTTTCTGGTTTTGCATGTTTTGTTATACTTCACCTGACAGAATGACCAATTCTTATGTCATTGTGTTAGTTTTGTGAATAATTATGGTCAGCATTTTGAGACAGAATACTATGTTTGTGAATATAATCTTATGGCTTTTTTTTTCATTTAGTGGATACCTTTCAGTATGGAAATTTATGAAAACTGCTTTCTGCTCTATAATCTGTCCTTTGTTATAGATTAAAGCTTATTTTTCTGTGAATAAGACTTATCAATAAAGCACTATTCTTTAAAATGATATCTTGGGGTTTGATTTTCTTTTGTTGAGACAGGATTTCATATATCAACCCAGGCTGCTGGCCTTAGATTCAGTATGGATGAGTAACCTTGAACTTCTGATCCTCCTTCCCTTACCTCTTTAGTGCTGGGATTGCCTGATATTTGTAGCATTGAAGAACAAACCCAGGACTTCATGTATGCTGAGTTCTACCAACTAAGGTAGATTAAACTCAGGTCAGCAGGCTTAACAGTAGGTACCCTTACCCACTGAACCACACCACACAGACACAAAACCCTTTTCAATGGGGGCTAGAGAGATGGCTCAGCGGTTAAGAACATTGGCTGCTCTTCCAAAGGACCCAGGTCCAATTCCCAGCACCCACAATGGTAGCTCACAACTGTCTGTTACTCAAGTTCCAGGTGATTGATCTCCCTCACGCCAATGCACATAAATTTTTTTTTTTTAAATAATGAGCTAGGTGGTGCGTGTGTGAGTTTCAGGACAACCAGAGCTACACAGATAGGTCTCCAAAAACCAAAAAAAAAAGTAATGAATACTTTAAAATATAGATTAAAATAGGGCCAGAAGTGTAGCCCAGTGGCATAGCACCTGCCTGGCATACATGAGAAGCTAGATTTAATCCCTAGAACCAGAAAACAATTGTTAATATAAATAGTTAACAGTTGTAAATATGAGTGGTTAACACACCTCTCCTCACAGTAGTTTGTGTTCAAAGATCATAAAGTCACTGTAAAATCAAAGGTCCAGCAAGCAAGTGATAAGGAATCCAAGAACCACTGTGCCGTCAAGGCAGGCAGCAATGGGGCATTTTTGTGAGCTAGGCTACATACTGGCTGTTTTCAGAATGTGAGAGCATTTTGATCTGACACAGACTTCCTAGATGGAAATTTTCAAGTATCTATTTCACATAGCTATTGTCCTGTCCCTTCTAATCCACAATCAGGGATTTTTGTTTTGTATTTTCTGGTTTTTCAACACAGGGTTTCTCTGTAGTTTTGGAGTCTGCCCTGGAACTAGCTTTTGTAGACCAGGCTGGTCTCAAACTCACAGAGATCCACCTGCCTCCCGCCTCCCGAGTGCTGGGATTAAAGGCCCGCCCCACCACTGCCCAGCTCATAATATGGGTTCTTAAATGCATTATATTCCAGCCAGGTGTGATGGCACATGTTGCCTGTAAACCCAGCATGTAGAAGGGAAAGAATAAATGAGACACTGTTTTCAAAAAGAGAAAGGTATTTCAGGCCATCTGTGTAGGGACTGGTTAATCTTTGACAATATTATCACTGTCAAAAACTGTCATTATCAAAAGACAAACAAAAGACTGCCAACAGATCCGGCTTTGAGGTAGGGTCTTAATTCTTAGTCACAGGTGAATTTAAACAGCAACCCCTTTGCCTTGGCCTCTTAAGTGTTGAGACTGTAGGCATGAACCCAGCTCCCTTTCAAAAAATGTTCTCCTGCATACAGAATATATTTGAACTTTGTAATAATAACATTGTCATCCAGTGCTGAATTCAGTAATTCCAAATTGTTATTACCCTTAAATGCTCTTAAGAGCTGGCAAGCTTGTTGAACAGGTTAAAAACAAGCATGACTTGGGTGATCCCCAAAACCCATAGGGCAGAAGTTAAAAAAAAACAAAACAACAACAAGAAAAATAACTGCTTGTTTTCCTGACTTTCACATATATGCTAGGACACACTTGTGCATGTACTCATATCGCACACACAAATACAATTCTACAAAACCACCCTTTGATCAAGCAATGAAAGTAAGGATTTGGAAGCTCAGCTGGAGGTGCTGGAGGGTGACAGCAACCAGATGAGCTTGTGCAGAACGGATCTTCGGATCTTCGATTCCACAGAGCCAACACTTGAGTGAAATGTGAGCCATTAATTTGGAAGGAAAGGATTTCAGAGTTGGAAAGAGTTGGCCTTTCTAATTCATAATATTAACAGTTCTGATTTCTTTCCAGTTCTGAAATTTTTCAAGTGTGGCAACAAAAAGCAGATTAAGGTCTCAGTCTTCTACAGATGATGAGAGTTGTATCAGTTGAACACATAGGTCTATATTATAACTCAAGTAATAATCTTGATAGGTTCAAGGTTAGATGACAGACAGTTCAGTATTTTAAGTCTTAGTTTGTATGAGATTTCCAAGACAAAGTAATTGTTCATAATAAATGACAACAGCACAGGAAGTCTTTTGAATGGGCCTATACTTGTTAAGCTTAAATGATTTCAAATAGAGTTAGAACCCAGGAGAATCAGATTTTCATTATTCTTTCCACAGAAGAATTTAAACTGAAGGAAACGTAGAATATAATTGAGATACTGTGTACTAAATCAGCAGTCTTTTTCCAAAATCTAATTCTTTCTGAGACAGGGTTTAGTACAGCTCAGGCTGGCCATCAGGGATTACAGGCATGCATGCACCTCAATGTCTGGCTTTCAAAATCTTAATTATTTCAGTAGCTTTTACTGTCAATATGTATGCACATATTTAGATAGGTATAGTCTTAGCATTTCCCAGGATCAAACCTAGAAATTCACTTACACTAGGGAAGTTCTTTGTCACTGAGCTATTCACCCTCACCCCCAATTATGTATTTTACATTGAAAATTATCAATATACACTTCTTTCTCTTTTAAGATTTATTTGTTTTTATTTGCATTGGTGTACTGCCTGCACATATGACTGTGTGAAGGTACCAGATCCCCTGAAACTGGAGTTCAGACAGTTGTGAGCTGCCATCTGGGTGCTAGGAATTGAACTTGGGATCTCTTGAAGAGTAGCCAATGTCCGTAACTATTGAGCCATCTCTCCAGCCCCTGATGTACATTTTAAAAATAAACTTTCATTGTACATTCATTTCTCGTGTGTGTGTGTGTGTGTGTGTGTGTGTGTGTGTGTGTGTGTGTGTGTCTGTCAGTCTATGTCCTTAAACACAAGTGTTCTTTAGCTTTATTTCATTACTAGATGCTAGGGATTTCTTCCATAAAGAGTTTTGTTTTTTTGGTGAAGGCATCAAACATGCACTTTCTCATTAAATACTGGAACTTATTTTGCCAGAAATTAGGCTCTGCTTCATGAGATCAGTAACAGTTGTCTTGAAGCAAAAGAGAGACATCAGAGTATGTGAGCACCAACTGATGTTTGCAAGGAACTGCTATTAAAACAATAGACTCCGAATCCTACCCCCCTATAAAATCTTTTGTCTTTTTTAAAATTCATCTTCTGAAATTGGGGGAAACAGTCTGAAATTATTTTTCATTGAGTTTTGAAACATGTGGATTATGACTTTCTTGGTTAAAAAAAATTAGCAAATGTTTGTGTTAATCATTAAGAGTATGTCCTAACAGATCTGGAAAAACCTGTTTTTCTTTCAACCACATTTTATTTGATTATTAAGATGAATATACTCTACTTCTTGACTTTCTGTTACAAACTTTCCAGATCCAGATATGTTATAATTTAGGTGAGCTGTGAGAATTAATGAAAAAGACAAGTGCTAACAATAGTTATAACCCAGTATGAGCATAGCAAAAAATATACATGGCTATAGCCATTCTTGTTCCTCCTGCCTTGTGAGATTGGGAAGACCATGTGGGAGAATGTACATGAAAGAGAGTTAAAAGGAATAAACCCTCTGGAAGCCTGAGGAGTCATCCCTCTAATTAGAGTGTATCAAACTAATTACAGGTTAGTTTGACACAAAATGAAGTAGTTGAGGACCAGTGTCTGATTAATCAGGCACGTAAGATGATGAAATGCATTCATGGCCATTTTCATAGCTCTCAAAATGCTTTCCATCTATTTTCTCTTGCCTTCCACTCTTTGTGGTCATGGGTTGTGCTTGAAACAGAAAAAATGTGTAATGTAATGGCTCAGAGGGATTTGGGGGAAATTATTGCTATGTAAAATCATAAAAAATATATGTGTGTTCTTAAACCATGAGATTCAATTGGCTTTCAGATATGGAAGGAGGGACATAGCTCCATGGTAGAGTACTTTGCCTAGGAAGTTGGAGACCCTGGGTTCAATCCCCAGCACTGTAAGAAAAGAAACAAGCCAGTAGTGGCTGTCACATAAGAATTTGGGGGAGTTAAATCAGTTTTCTAACATGTGACCGTAAGAATATGTAAGACATGTTTAGGCATGATAATTTGTGTTCTCACTGGATTTCATGGTACATGCCTAAAACTCTTTTCCAAAGTCCTTTACCTGCTTCATTTTGTAACACCCCTCTGAAGTGGACTGTTCTTTGTCATTTTGAAAGTAGTGAAAAGGTCACAGTGCAGTTAGGTGAGTAGAGGCAAAGTCACCAGAGCCTTTACTTCTGTTACATATATTTGTTTATTTATTTCATATGTGTGTGGGCCACAGAACACATGTGGAGGTGAGAGGACAATTTATGGGAGTCAGTTCTCCACCTCCACCATGTGGGATCCAGGGTCAAGTGGTCAGCTTGGCTGCAAGTCCCTTTACCCACTGAGCCATCTCGACCACCCAAGAGCCCTCACTTGGACTCTGGTACTCTGAATACCATGCTGTTGTGTTTCTCATTCATTATATTTGTGCCATCTATGTAATTTACAGCCAAGGAACCCTAAACATAGGGGTTATATGATATGACTCGCCTAAATCATATGGTGAATCACTAGTCAAGCCGTTCTTATAGGCAGTAAGGCTGTTTCTAGCTAATTTTTGGCATAAATTAGCTAAACTGGCTGCCTCGCTGTCTGACATGTGTGCATCCAAATCTAGGCTCTTGGGTTTGTTTTGGGGGTTTTGGTTTTCTTTCTTTTCTCATAGGCTATCAAGCCACAAAATCAAATTATAGGTGATAGATGGTTGTGTGGAGACTTTAATCTGCCTGGTTTAATTTAAATCTTAACCTGAGTGATTAAGCTTGAAGTAATTTCTAGTTTCAGCTTGGAGGGTGGGGTGGGTGTGGGATGGTTGGCATCGGTGGCACGCTGAAAAGGTACAGGCAA